GTTACAAGTTAGCTCTTAACTGATATGGTTGGTGGGTGGAGCCACAGACATGGCTCAACCTGTCTGTCACAGACAGACGTGATGTCCTTGGAGCTTCCGTAGTTGGTCATGCCCAGGCAATTCCCTTAGTGAAACACCAAGCGAAGTTAGAAAAAGAAACACTGGTAAAAGCTTGCAGGTAAAATAATTTAATCCCATGTTATGGAGGGGAACGGATTATTTCAGAGAGCTGAAATATCCATTCTCTCCTCTCCTCCTACCATATCTTTGGGAAATAAAGAGCAACTGTTTCCAAATTCTTAAAAATTGTTGTGTGATAGCATGTAGTACACTAGAGATGTCCTTAATCCAGTAATCTGTCATATTTTACATTAGAACAGGATTTACCAGAAAGTCTACTCTCTCATATTTGCTAAAGTTTAAATTTTTGTGTCTTGCTATCAGCCAGTTTCCATCTTATAAAATACACACTATGAGTTGGGAAACTGTGTTTGGTGACTGACTTATTCTCTTGGCGTTTAAATAAGACAACACAAAATAGCTTAAAATTACTTTGTCTATTTATTTATTTAACAATTTTGTAAACAACAGCTGCTGATTAAACTGGATATTATAACCGTGACATGATTATTGGAGTTGTTTTTAGCGAGAAATCGATTAGAAGCGCCGTAAAAAATGGTCCCATCTGCCATGTCCGCCTCTCTGGCTTCAATGCGCACCCCCGACCAAAAGAACGTCTAGAAGTCAGTTAGAGCTTCACATACCTGGGACATCAGTCTTTTAGCAACACCTAGCGGTGACAACTTCTTCTGCACAGGAATGCTACAGGCTGCTTTCCTGCACATGCTGCCACTATGTGGTGAATTCCAGTACTACACATTTTACCTAGACCAGCTCAGAAGCGAGATCCGGGGCTCTGGGGGAAACATCCGGAGCTGTAGCCCAAGTAGCCGCCCCCTAGATCCGCCACTGAGTATCGTGTTTGTTTGATCTTCATTAAAAAAGTAGGCACAATAGAGTAATGTGCTACTAAGTAACAGTGTTGGGAATAATGGCGTTGAAATAAACGGCGTTACTAACGCCGTTACTTTTTTCAGTAACGAGTAATCTAACTAATTACTTTGACTGTCACTATAACGCCGTTATCATTGCCGACACCCCGTTACTGCCCGTTACTGTACGTTACTGAAGTCGCACAATGAACTTTTTTTTAACTTCATGATAGGACTCGTTTGCATGTTGTCATGAGAGAAGGGAGGATGAGATAACCTCTCAGCAATTATTGGCTGATGTATAGTGAGATGACGTCTTCAGCCAATCACAGAAATTGGGTAGGTGGGTGTTTCCGCATTCACAAAGGTGGGTGCTTAGTGCTTACAGCCACACACACACAGAGAGAGAGATGGCGAGTGAGGAG